CAAGAATTCATACAGAATTTAATTTTCATCATCATCATCATCGACATTGTTCCAATGCCAATGCCAAAAAAAAAACAACAACAATCCATACATGTCATACATGTTTGGATTGGTTAAAAAATGGATTTTTTTTGTCGTTGTTGTTGTTGTTGTTCAATTTATAAAAATTCTATGTGATGTGATTTTTTTTTTTTGTAAATTGAAAATCATCATAAAAAAACCAACGACGACCAATGACAACGAATGGCATTTCATATGGCGCTCACCAGATATATAATAAAAAAAGAGAAAAATGAAAAGAAAAAAAATATCTACTTCCGGGGAAATATTATAAATAAATCCCTAGAGCACTATTGGTGTGTGTGTGTTTTATTGCTATTTTTATTTTTTTTTTTTTTTTGGAACCGGATTTTTCTCTTTCACAAAAAAAAAAAAAAAATAATATTTCGAATGATGCATGGCATGAGATTACAGAATATATATAAAAAAAACCAAATCTCAAACACAAACATGAGTGTGTGTGTGTGTGTGTGTGTGTGTGTGTGTGTGTGTATGAATATCTATAGTCTATGGTACAGAATTGAAAAAGAATTTATTACATTGTGCAACAATGAATTAAAAAAAAAGAAGGCAAAAAGAATGTTTCCAGCATATCATTCTGTCAGGAATATTTTTTTTTATTAAAAAATTTCCAGAATATACAAATTCCAACCATGTATAATAATAATAATAATAAACGTTTGTCGTAAATGGTGAATTATGCAACAAAGAACAAAAAAACAGAATAAAGAATCTACAACTTTTTTTGTGCATTTCTGTGTGCCACATAACAACAACAATGAATTATTAGAAAACAAATCAAGAATAAAAACTACATTTATTTCATTGATTTTTTTCGTCTTTGTTTCTTTGTTTCGAGCTTTTTTATCTACATCCTTATCAACATGGGTATTCAAATGTGAACAAAAACAAAAGGATTAAAATGGAACAAAAAAAATAGAACCAAACATCGTCATCATCATCATCATCAACAACAACATACTAAGAATCTGGAATTGTGTAACACAGCATTTGGCATGTAGAATCCATTGATAGTTGATGAAAAAGAAAAACCATAACATATACAGAAACACTAATTTTTTATCTTTAATTCTGTTCTGTTCTGTTTTGTTTTCATTTATTCTTGTTTATTTGCAAATTTTTTTTTGTACCAGCAAAAAAAAAAAAAAAAGATTTCAAGGGTTTATATGGGTAGCTTATATATTTCTGGGTCGGATATGTTTTTTTTTTCGTCCAACTCTAAAACACTGTGTTTGTCCTATGTGTGTGTTATGTATTGTTTGTTCGTTTCAATACATAGGAAAAATAAAATGAAAACGAAACGAAAAGGAACAAAAAACCAAGAATTGTGTGTGTGTGTGTGCGTTCCAAAGCCTTTATAACATATGGGCACACACACACACACACATGACGCCTAACAAAAAAAAATCGACCGCATGGAATAAGAATCAAACGCCACCGCCACTATGATGTGAGGGTAGAATTTTTTTTTTGATAACGGCACATTTGTGATACCAGAATTTCGGCTTACTGGAGGGTGTGTGTGTGTTTCGAAAGTCAGAAAAAAAGTGGTGGGGTATATTCATTCATTCATTCATTCTTCAAAGAAAAAAAAATGACTACGACCAATTCAGATCAATTCGACCGAATAACGACGATAGCGGCGGACATGGCCGTTTGACTTTTTCAGTTTTTTTTTGTTGTTGTCGTTGTCGTTGTCGTCGTTGGTGGTGGTGGTGGCTGTTTCTTTTTTTTCTCTTGGCATATAAATATACACAAGAGAAAAAGAAAAATTGAAATGCCAGTTCCGTTGTCCCATGACCCATATATATATAGTACCAAAATATACAGATATATTCCATTCACAAATAAGCTATGTATCCAAAAATAAAAAAAAATCCAAACGATAACAGCAAAATTTATACAACAAGATATGAACTGAGTGAACACACACACACACACACACACAGAGAGAGACAGAGAAAAAAAATCACAGAAAATCGTAGCATCAAAATCGAAGGAGCTTTATTATTATTATTAAAATAGCGCGCCAAATAGAAAAAAAATTACACCCAAAGAAAAAAAATACACAAACAGAAAAAATCTTTCTGTTTCTGGATCGTAGAAGATACAATTTCGGAAAATAAAAATAAAGAGACAAAGAGAGAGAGAGAGAGAAACCTTAGAAAAAAAATGTGTCCATCTCGACCTAGAGAAATTTGAGAAAGATGAAGAAAAAAAAAATAACTACTACATTTTCGTAATGATATAGCTGATATACAACATGAGGATAACAATGGAAAATCCAAAATTTCGAATCGATCATATTGTCGACTGGTGAAGAAAAAAAAAATCACTAGATCAAACACAGCAACAAAAAAAAAGTTCATATTCCAAATTCATTACAAGTCAACAACCAAATCATCGAAATGTCAATGTAAAGTAACAAAAGAAATTGCAAAAAAAAACAAAAAAAAAGAAAATTCTTCCGCTATTATTCTGGTCCAGAATCACTTTTCTATAGTGACCAGATTTTTTTTTTTGTTTCTGGTTTTTTACACACACAAAAAAAAGAGCAACAACAAAAAAAACTTCTAAATCAGCAGCAGCAGCAGTCATACGACAATCATTTATTCATTTTTCTTTTTGCTTGAAATGGCAATCAATCAATAAATAAATCTGTGAATGAATGAATGAATACCGAATAGAGAGAGAGACGGGACCATAAAAACCAACCACATTATCGAGTATGGATTTCAGTTTACAAACTGTCAAATAATTTTTTTTTTTGTCTTGGCAATCGAGATGAAACAAAAAAAATTTGACCAAAATTTTGTCCCCATATAATATAACCACCATATTCAACCACATCCACAATATCAATAGATATTGATGTGGTGACTTTTAGATTGAAACAAACAAACAAACAAACAGAAAAAAATGGATCACAGTTCAGCCGCAGCACAGACCAACACACACACACACACACACAAACATACATGGGTTGTTGAATTCCCTTGAAATAAAGATTTTTCGATTTTTCAATTTTTTTTTCTCTGATCAGCCGGTAAAGAGCAGTAAAACAAAAACAAAAATTCTGTGTATAAAATCAATTGAAACAGAGAACAAAAAAAAAAAAATGGTTGCCAAGGACAGGCAAATGATGCATGTATGCAATGTACCAATCACAAGTTGTCAATGGCAGCCCATTTATTCATTATGTGAACAAATGAAACAAAACAATTTTGTCGATTGTCGATTGATTGCAAACAACGACGACAACGACGAAATTTTCGTATTAAATTCATGTCATTCAAATCAATCCTCTGTTTCTCACACACACACACACACACACACACACACATGAATCGAAGGCAATTTACTTTAAATGAACCAAATGGAATGACCAAAATTGTGATTGTAATTGTTGTTGTTGTTACAATAATCATCATCATCATTTTTGTTTTGATCGACACACATTTGAATCCTAAGAATCCTTATCCATAGCCATTATTTTTTTGGAAACATTAAAAGTTTATTGTTTATACAGTATTCTATGTTATTTATATAAAAAAAAACACAATACTTATCCCGGAACAAAAACAACAACAACAACAACAACAAATACAATGTGTTGATATATATATTATTATTGTTGTTGTTGTTTTGGTACAACTAAACGAAACTTGAGAGAAAAAAAAACTTGACAAAAGAAAAAAGTTGTTGACCATCCACCCACCCACACACATTTTTACTACTAACTTTTGTTTTTTTTTTTTTTATATTTGTTCTTTCGTATAATTGATTGAATGTGTAATTGAATAAAATTTTTTGTGTTTTATTCATCATCCATCAGTCCAAACACACAAAATCACACACACACACAGAGAGAAAAACTATTCATATTTGAAATAACATACCAACATATGTGTGTATGGGGTCCGATTAAATGATGACGATGATGATGTGTTTTGTTTTTTGTCAAGTTGAAAAAAAATCATCATCATTGGAATCACGATGTTTTCTTTATATGAGATTACAACAACAACAACAAAAAAAAAAAAAAAAAATTTTTGATTCTATTGTTCCACAGTAGACGTTGTTGTTGTTGTTGTGGGTAAATGTTTATTGCACCAACAACAACAACAACAACAGAATTTTACGATTCATGAATCTATTATGGAGACATTTTGAAATAAACGACATTCGGAAATGATGACGCGCTTGTCACAAAAAAAAAAAAAAAATAGAATTTTCTTTTTCTTCATTGTGAAGGTTGTACGGAAAAAAAGGGGTAGAAGAAAGTTTTTCCACCAACACCAAACGCACACACACACACACAAAGATAAAACAAAAATGGACGAAGAGAAAAAAAAACGAGCCATATCAGTGAATAATAATAATTGTAAAAATGGAGAATTGGCAACCATAACCATAATAATAAAATGATGAAAAAATGGTAGTAGTCGTCATCATTATCATCATTTTAGTCATATAAATGGCAAAACACGAAACAAAAAGCAAATTTAAAAAAAAAAATTTTATAATTCGAAAAAGATAAGATTCTTTCAGTGTTGTTCATTTTGACTCGACAAACATTAAATGTCCAAAATCATCAATGCCATTTTTTTATTGGATTCTTTAATCTTGAAAGCAAAACACACACACACATAGAATCAAGATTGTTTTGTTCAGATTCTTCATTGTTATGGTTGATGGTTTTCTCCATCTTTTATTACCATTGTCATTAAACATAGTCATCATCATCATCATCATCATGTTGGTATGCAAGGCAATAAAACAAAAACAAAAAATTCGAATAATCAAAAAAAATAGTGAATAAAGTGATGAACGACTAATATCGATTTTGAATAAATATATATTGAATAACGCCCATTCAATATATTATAATAAACTCATTTAAATCGATATCGATTTCAATTTTATTTTTTGTTATTTAATGTAAATTTTATTCAAACTTTGATGGTGATGGTGCGAAAAAAAGCTAAATGAAAACTTCATTGACATTCGACATTAGTTTGTTTTTATGAAACAATGAGGAATAAATTTCAAAAACATTGTTTTCAATATATATTGTTGTGTTTATATGATCGGAACATTTTGAATACAATTCAAAATTCATTAATTTAAATGTGAAAAATGAATTAAATAATATTCTTTCCATTTCATGCTATACTCTCGATATGATCAATATTTATCATCATCAGAATCATAACGATGATGTCCCATAGTACTGATTTTTTTATAATGTCGACTACTATTACTGCTGCTACTAACATGATGTTGAGATGATGATGACGATCGATGACGAGATGATGATGAAAGGGTTGGTGGTGGTGGTGGTGGTACTGGTGATGTACGACGATGATGATGATGATGGTGTCGATGGCGATGCTTATCCGTTGTGGCAAATTCTTCTCTACTACTATTTTTACTAATCGATGGCGGCGGTGATGGACCATTTCCGTCATCGCCACCATCATTATGATGATGATTATTATTATCATGGATATTATCATTTTCATCATCATCATCATCATCCATGTCCATATCGGCACGGCCTAAATTCTCATCGCTATCGGCATCAATTTTTTCATGTTCTGGCGTTTTCAATAATGTCATTCGTTTCTGTTCCTTTTGTTGTCCATCATTATTTGTGTGTAGTGAAGATGAACGAGAATTATTATCGGAATGACCATCATCATCATTATCATCAACTAAATCCATATTATCATCACTTTCTACACGATTCATTAATTTATCCTCATGTTCATGCTTGTTAATCATCATCATCATTGCTGTTTCATCTTCCTCATGGCAATTACCGGTCAATGGTGATTTCATTATTTTGATACGAGATCCAGATCGTGACCGTGAACGATTATGGCGTTCATGACGTTCGATAAGACCACTAGACATAGCGCTAACGCCATCTTTTCGCCGATCTCGTCGTTCTGGTACTCGATTTCGTTCCGATTCTCGGCTACGGCTCCGTTTTTTTGGTCGTTCTCTTTCAACTCGACCATGAACACGTTCATGGCCATAATCTTTTTCTTCTCGGCTACGTTCATGTCTTTTACGATCTCGTTCAGAACGTTCACGTTCACGATCTCGGTTACTTCGATCTCGTTCACGGTCATAACTTCGACGTCGTTCCATGCTTCGATCTCGACTTGAACGACGACGATCACGATCTCGTTCTTTAGATCGTTCTCTTCGACTACCACGTATTCGCTCCCGTGAATATGAACGATCACGTGAAGATCTACGTCGTGATGATGAGGAATATGGTGAACGTTCACGTCGTTCACGTGATCGAGAACGACGACTTGATCGACGAACCGGTGATCTTGAACGTGAAATTGATGAACGTTTACGATCACGTGAACGATGGCTCGGTGGTGTTCGCGATCTTCGGCTACTTTTTCGACTTCGGCTAGGTGATCGACTTGAACGACTTCGTCCAATCGATCTTGATCGTGAACGTTTTGGTTTCGGCATCAGATCTCGTGTTTCCGGAAATTTACTTGGATCAACTATAATCAAAAAAAAAAAAAAAATGTCAAACTAGTTTTTTTTGAAAAACTTTATTTCCAATACCATTGATTTTATATTGTGGTTTGAGTATACTGGTTGTTGTATGTGTAAGATTCAATTGAGATCCTTGGAATGATATTCCAGTATTTTGTAAAGCATTTGCCACCGATGATTGATCCGTATATTCAATCATTGCCGATTTAATAACATCATTTTCATCGGTGGTCATACGAAGATATTTAACTTCACCAAATTGATTGAAAAATTCCAATAATTGTTCCGGTGTTGTCTTTTGGATTATAAAATTAATTGATGATTTAAATGAAACAATGAAAAATTACCTGTTTGTTAACATTTGAAACTACAATCGTACGACGAATTTCTTCTATCTTTGCAGGATCTAAACTTGGCGATAATGGTGGATATTGTGGTAAGCCTAATGCATTTAGACGAGGATCGATTGTTGTAATCGATTGTACGCCATTTACGGTTTCAATCTAGTAATTAAACACATGACAAAATATAGTTTGATATGGATAAAATGATGATATAATTTTAAAAAAAACTACCTGTGAAACGACGCCATTATTACTGCTATTCTGAAGATGGCCTTCATTGGCTAATTTCAATGCCAATGTTTCATCCGGTATACGATTATCATGAACCGGCTTGACCATAATCGCACGATCAATGAATACGGTATTGGTTAGATGTTGTGCCACACATACATTCATTGGATCGGCAAATCGTACATAGCATACACGTGATATCTGCTGTGATGGATCACTACATATCATCATCAACATCAATATTAGATTAATTAATCGAACAAATGAAATGTTCAACCTTACCTTGTTGGATAACAAACAAATTCTCGTATCGGGCCAACATTGGTGAATAATGTTCGTAGTTGTTCATTAGTGATAACCGGCGCCACATTGGTCACCTGAATCACCGATGTTGTTGATCCAGGGCCCATTTTATGTTGTGATTTTATAATTACTGAATAGAATCAGAATTGAATTAACAATTTTTACCAGAGAAAAAAAATTCGGCCGAACAAAACAATCAAAGCTCACACACACACACACACACACAGTTCCCACACCGAAACTCGACAATATCGTCTTAAATAATCGATAGTGATGAACGAATTTTTTTTATTTACATCGTAAAAAAAAACAAAAAAAAATCCTGGTTTTGTGATAAAAAAAATTATTTGGATCTTTTTGTTTATTCATTGAAATCCGGAACAAAAAAAAATGAATCATTTGATAGAGTCATAAATTTGTTAATAATAATAGCAACAACCAGATGACCTGATTGTCGATTTCTATCATCAAAAATTTTATTTTCATTTATTAACAATGACAACAGAAACAAGATGTAGCACTTTAACATTACAACAATATCTGCAAGCAAAAAATGAAGATAAAAATAATCTTAATAACGGATTTGGTCACCATAATCATCAACACCATCATCATCATCATCATCATTATAATCCACAACCACATCAAAATCGTTACAATCCAACAACCAAAAAACGATCCTCGACCGCTTCATCATCATCGACATCAGCCACATCATTAAATGTTTCAAATCATCATCGATCTTGTGAATCGATTAGTAATCATCATCAGATCCAAGGTTCCTCAAACTCTACAGCAAGATCGACGTTCTATTCAATGTGGAATACGGTAAAATATGGCAAGTTTTCATGCAATGGTAAATTTAAACATAATGCTCATTAACAATTTTGATTTTCAGAATTTAATCATCGATTTCGGAATAAATTCAATTTCAATTCACCAATATGTGTTCTTGGTCAACTTTACTATGGTAAAATGTCCGATTCGATTAGCCAATCGGATGAACAAAGTTCAAATCTCTATGCATATGATAAATTCAAAAAAGATTTCTATAGTCGAATCTGGCTAACATATCGACGTGATTTTCCTCCTTTACTGCAAACACCGATTACCACAGATAATGGTTGGGGTTGTATGATCCGTTCCGGTCAGATGATAATGGCGCAAGCTTTTCTTACACATTTTCATGGCCGAAATTGGCGATGGGAAGGACAAGATGATCTCATACATCGAATGATAATCAAATGGTTTGCCGATATTCCTGATCGATCGACAAGTCCATTTTCTATACATGAAATCATTAGACAAGGACAACAGTTGTTTGGTAAGAATCCAGGTGATTGGTTCGGTCCGGCATCCATATCGATCATAATGAAAAACCTGTTGGAAGATGCCGCCAAAGATAATCGATTATTATGCGATATTTGTTGTTATATTGCACAGGATTGCACTGGTATGTCTGTAACATACTTTTCTCAACTTTTAACTCTATTTTTTAATTTTATAATTATTGTTTCATCATCAGTTTATCTACAAGACGTCATCGACTTATGTCGGACAGCCAATATACGTTCAAATTCAAATACAATCATCGATGATGATGATGGAAATAATCAATGGCGTAGCATAATCATATTGATACCTGTACGTTTAGGTGGTGATGAATTTAATAAATTTTATTCACCATATTTTAAACAAATATTATCACTATCTTCATGTTTGGGTGTAATCGGTGGTAAACCACGACATTCATTATATTTTATTGGCTTTCAAGATGACAAATTACTTGCTATTGATCCACATTATTGTCAGAAAAGTATTGATGTTGGTACAAGAACAAATTTTCCATTGGATAGCTATCATTGTATATCACCAAAACGAATTTCATTAACATCAATCGATCCTAGCTGTACGATTGGTTTCTATTTGAAAACCAAACAAGATTATGATGAATTTATAAATTTTTCACAACAAATTATTGATCATTCATATAAAAGTAATGGTTATCCAATATATTCATTGGATTCAAATAATCGATTTGACAATCAAATGAATGAACCATTATCATCAACAACAACAACAACAATGGATCGAATATTACGAATGGAATATAGACTTGTTGATCGCCATGGAAATGTACAGAAATTATTATCATCCGAAGATTTTGTTGTATTATGATGAGTTCATCAGAAAAAAAAATTTCATTATAGAATTTGCTATTAATATATGTTATCTGAATTTTTTTGCTTGTTTGATTTGATTTTTTTTTATTTTAAAATTCTACAATCAACTTGAAAAAAGTGTAAATTAACTCTTTGAATTTTTCTTTTTTCTATGACAAAACAAAACAAAAAGTCATTTAGGATCGGATCGATTTTCTTTTGAATAAAGAAAATCACTTTCACTTTAAGTATTATGGGGGGGCCATAATGCAATTTTGTCTTTGTATACATAATCGAATGCGAAAAAAAAAGAAAAAGAATTGCTTTAAATGATTCTTTTTAACCCTAAATGATTCATACACACACACGACAGTAGCATTTTGGATGATCAAGGAAATTGACATTTTTTTTGTTTTGTTTAATTTTTCACGTTCAATTGTCAATGTTGATGTTGTCATTCGCAAACACACACACACACAAACACTGTGACCGTAATAGCATACATGCAGGGTAATAAATATATTGGTTCGAATCGAATCGTATTCGGCAAAAGTGGTAGCTATTTAGATTTTTTTTTGTGTTATAAAACGACGTTTTATGACGACGATCCTGATTTTTTTTTTTTTATTTCCCTGATGATGAGTAGTGGGGGTGAGCGAAAAAAAAACTTTCAATTTCAACAAAAATTTTGACAATTACCATTGACCTATAATCGTCTAAAATGTTGGTCATCCAATAGGGACAAACAAAAAATGACAAGCTGAATCAATTATACAGCAATGTCATCAATAAACAGCGCATACAGTTCCGATCATATAACCGATTGTATAACGACGAAAAAAAATGACCCAATAGATTTTTTTTAGGGTCACAATTTTTTTTTTTTTTCATTTAATTTCTTCAAGATAACCAACCAACCAACTACCCACACCCAATAATAACTCATTCATTCAGGTAAATGGAAAAAAAATCCAAAAATACGCACAAAAATTTCATTCAAAAAATTTTAAATTGAAAAAAAAACGAAAGCACCCTATTATCCATCACACCTACTACAACTACTATTACTGCTACTATAGTACATACGTTTGGCTCTTTAACTAACCTAAACAATCGACATTGATATACAGCATTGATTCAATCTATAGATGAAAATCTATAGAAGAAAAAAAGGGTCAGTAGATAAAGTGAAAGTAGGCCACAAAGTAATAAAATAAAAGTAAGGTGTATAATATGAACATTCGAAATTATAACAGTTTACTTGTAGCCGATGTGTTTCTTTTCTTTCATTCATCAATTCATGATCCAGAAAGTGAATTGAAACGGATGTCAATGGGATCGTCGTCGTCGTCGTCGGTGGGATTGAAGTTTTGACTTTCAATTTTCAATCGTCTCATTTGAATCCAAGCCAATCCCTTTATATTGCGGGCGGAGAAATCATTGATTTTTTTTTCATAAATTTTTGTCCGAATTTCCTGATTACCGCTTTTCTTTAGGATGATGATGATGATGATGATTGTAGCTTCAACACCGCCGCCGCCGTCGCCACCGCCAACTATAATCGCCGTTAACACTATTGGTGGTGATTATGGGTTTCACTAACCTAATTTTCATTGAAAAAAAGTGAAAATAACCAAAACAAAACGATGATCATCATATCAATGAACAAAAAAAAAAAAAATAGAAATTGGACCATGGGGTTCCGATGATGACGACGACAACAACGATCGTAACCGATCCAAACGTCTAGTCATATAGTCTCTCTTATCACATATATTGGTCAATTGAAAACTGTAATTTTTTTTTCTACAAATATTCTCTCTACCCTTTCTTTTTATTTTTGGACCGATTTTTTTGACACACTGAGACATTGATTTTGTCTTTAATCGATTTGTTTCTTGAAATAATGGAAAACTTTTACTTTTTCTTCAAATAATAATAATTATCACAAATCACAAAATGATCATCATCATCGTCATCATCATCACAGTATGTGATTATCATCATGGTGGCAGTGGTAATTAGCCACCATCAAATGACCAATGAGAAATGGATTACTAAAAATGGACACTGACAGTTATTTTTCTTCTTTGAAAAAAAAAAAATTTTTTTGAAATTCAATCAATGAATATGAAATTAGTAACGAAAGAAAAAAAAAACGAAAATAAAAACAGAGAAATGTTTGACCTTCGAAAACAGAAATAAAAACAAAAATCGATTAACACAAACACACAAAAAAAAATATTCTGTAACAAAACATGTAACGAATGATTTTGCCTGTCTTGTCACGTCACCATATATATATATAATTGAAATTCAAACCAAAAGTTAAAAAAAAAACAACAACCAGCTAACTGTGGACAAATCAAAAAGTTAAAAATGGCTAATGACGTATCGATATAGTGTGGACGAATAATAATAACCACCACCACCACCAATAATAATAATAATAATGTGATAATGGACAACCGATAATGAAACGTTATTTCACTCACTTTCACTCATTCAGTCAGTCACTTCTTCCTGTCCAGTGTGTTGTTGTTGTTGTTGTTGTTGTTGTTTTTATTGAATTTTTCTAATGTTTTTTCTCCTTGATTCCATACCGTTTTTCTCATTTTCATTTTTTGTTTTTTTTCCAATGAATGTAACAAATTTTGTAAGAGGTTCCAAAGTATTGATGATGATTAGTTTGTCTATTCATTTTTTTTTTCATCACTGTTATCATCGTTCCAACACACACACAAACAGACACTCTAATGCTTGAAGGAAAAGGAAAATTTTTTTTGTCTTTTTTGTCTTGCACACACCAAAAAAAAAAAGATTATTTGTCTGCTATTTATTTTTCATTTTGTTTTTGTTTCTGGATCGATAATGGGTACTGTTGTTGTTGTTGTTGTTGTGGCTGTTTTTCACCATTGGTCTATATTTGTCTAAATGGCCAAAAAAATGATGATGATAATTTAACCTTGTCTTTCTCTCTCTCTCTCTCTCTCTCTTTCTCTATGTTGGCTATTAACAAATCCGTTATACACACACACACTGATGATAAGAATTTTGAAACTTTTTTTTTCTTACTTCATTGAAAATGAAAGTATTTTTTTTCATGGTTGTGGTGGTGGTGTTTTTTTTGAGGGGGTGGGGGTAGGGGTGAAAGAAGGTAATCGTTTACCACCATGAAAAAAAACGACCCAACAACATTAGTGATTTATATAACACAAAATGAGTGAGAGAGTGAGACACTAATGTCATGGAATGTGTTCACTGAACAAACGTGCGCACAGAAAAAAAAGGGCTAAAATAGTCGGATTTTTTTTTTACTCTACTAAAAATAGATATGACCATATCGAAACATGTATTCAAAAAAATGGTCATTTTACATTATTTGCAAAAGAATGGACGATGACGACGACGACGATTGTGGTGGTGGTCAGCGTGTGTCAATCATCATCATCATTATATACAAATGTAAAGCCAATTGAGATTTAGATTTGAAAATCAGATTAACCGAATCGACAACAAGTAACAAAAAGAATAAAAAAACAAAACAAAACACGTGGCCCACATATTATTGGATGTATTAACCATGTAATGGGGTTCTTTTTTTTCTTGATATATTCTGGAATTGATTTAAAATCTACACATATATATTTTTATGACTAAAAAAGATGAATATTTCATGATTTTAAAAAAAAAAAATGAGCAACAACAACAACAACAACAAAAAACAATGAATCATACCACATCGTATGATGGAAATTAAAACAACGGATTTTTCGTTTTTTCTTTTTTTTTTTTGGATGTCATCATCATCATCATCACAATGAATAATGCAAAATTGCAAGGATTACAATACAATCAAGCAATCAGGATTGATCATCCATATCATTAAACGTGTGCGTACACATCATTCCATTATATATACATTATAAATCTCATATTATTCATAAATATGATATATGATGATGATCCTCATCATCATCACATTGAAAAATTTATTATACAGACACAAAAAAAAAAACGACGACAAAACGTTGTATTGATATATTGAAAAACATCATCATCATCATTTTAGTCATTAAAATATGCACTGAAAAAGATAGAGAGAGAAAAAATTCATTCATCCTTCAGACACTTGTTTTCTTTTTCTCTCGTTTCTTAGGCAACCCTTTTCTTTGCAACATATGTGCAATTTACCTGTAATGTTTAAATTCCAGACTGATTGTTAGACGTATATATATTATATTAATGCTATAGCAATAATCATCCAACAACAACAACAACTACCTAAGTGATGCAAAAGTGCATTTTAATTTCATTTTCATAAGGGGGGTCCATTGTTATCAATGAAAAAAAAAATCAACACTTGCACACACACACAGACACAGATTATACACCTGACACATCGTATATATGCAATATATAAATCCAATTTGAATGCAATTGGAAGAACAACAAATGGACATTGCAAACAACAACAACAGAAACAGTAGTCAATTGATGATCAATCGAATTGATTCCATTTATAAATCGATTTATAAAATGGACAATAATGATGATCAGATTTGAATTTGATTTTATTCCAAATTTTTTTTCTCCTTCTTTTTGTTGAATTAATGATGATGGTTGAACAACTTTCTCCATCACCGCCACCACCACCACCGCCATCACCAATGATGATGATGTTTGATAGCTGAGAATCCATCCAATCCATCAATAACAACAAATGACCTTGAAAATGGTCGTTATACGACGAACTTGATTTTTTAATGTCGTCGGACGTCTGATGATCTTGATGGTTGGCTGGTTATATACCTGCATCCATAGATGGAATAATAATAATAATAAATTGGCCACCACCATTTATTTTTTTATTCATTTGAAACCAGTTTATATTCAAACAAACAATCAGCTAACAATCTGCTTTTTTTTTCTTTCTTCAACAACGATTCCAGAGGTTCATGCATATAAATAACACAGCAGCTAAACATCATCCCCTCCACACACACACACACACACATTGCATTCATTTTGTTTACC